CCCCTATACTGTACTACAGGGCTAGACTATTGTTTAAATCGGACGGTGAAAATTTTCCCCAAATTTCGCCAGGTTATTTTAATGAGGAAACCAGACAGGAAGTGAGAAATGTTAACATATCGCAGTCGCAAAGAAAAATTCAACTTGATGTAACATGTATGTAATGACGTTAGGAGAGGCTTTGCCATTCAAGCTTAAAAAATTCAACTTGTCGTAAGAATCGTTACCGGCTTATTTTGTCTGCGGCCCAGCACGATCAAGACGCAGCTGTTTTTGTCCAACTTCTCGTAACAGTCGTAAGAATCGTATGAATCTTAATAAATTCTGAATCAGTTACCCTTACTATACATCTTCATGGTTAGCATAAAGAGAACTAGAACGTCGCTCCATGAGTGCCTACCTACCCCCATATGCCTAAATGCAGAATTCACGAATGCAGGCGATTTTTTCCTTATGCTCGAGGGTGGGTTTCAAGGAAACTTTGGTTGCTCAACTCAAAAAGGGAACTTGTAATGTTCGTAAGAAAATAAAAAAAAAAAATCTATATTTTATAATAATAATAATAATAGGTCAATTTATAAGGCGCAAATAAACAAGGTGTAAGCACCAAATAATAATAATAATAGTAGTAGTAGTAGTAGTAGTAGTAATAATAATAATGATAATGATAACAACAACAACAACAACAACAATAACAATAACAACAATAACAACAATAAAAATGACATTGCAGCGTTCGTAAAATGTTTGTCACTGGTGCTGGGAACACTCACAAAAGTGGGGGGGGGCAGGCCCCCCAGTAGAAAAAGTGGGTGGGCCAATGGCCCCCCCTGGCTCCCCCGCTTCCGCCGCCGTTGCTAGGGAGAAATGTTATTTATATTTAAAATTATTAATATTGATATTTTCAAATAAAATTATTTAAAATTAATAATATTAGAGTAAGTTTCTTTTTTTGTAAATGTTTGCATACCTTTTCTAGATAATCTTGAATAGTTTTAAGATCTACCTCTGTCAACCTGTCCCTATTTACATTAGGAATCATGTCCAAGCCAGCACAATCAATCCCACTGCTTGACAACCCTTTGCCTTGCCTACAGAAAGAAGACATTGTACAGACAAATTCACAAAACTTTTTAGATATTTCTTCTGTTAGCCATATTAAAACTGCAGTTCAGTGCTGGCTGAAGAAACTTGCTTACAGGGGGATCCAACAAATCCGACAGTAGTGTCCAAATCAATAGGCCATTTAGAGTATAGGTCAGGGTCCCAAAATAAAATCCCTGGTGGGATTTATGGGAAGAGATTGTATTTATTATGCAATGGCAATTATAATAATTTTGTTTGGATCAGCAAAAAATTAATATTTTTAGTCAGAGGACTTTGTCCATCACGACAGTGATTCCATTCCGACAGTGATTCCATACTTGTGTGATGCAGGGATGTTGGTGCACCACTGATGCACGTACGCACACACAGAAAGTGTACATAAGCCTTGATACAAAGACCATTAATGGCTGAAACTATATATTTTGATATAAATTTCAATACAAATCACACAAACTTACAAAAACCTATTCATTTATTTGCATTACAATATATAAAAGTATACATATAGACATTTAGTATTTCAATACCTTTCTCTCTCCAGTAGTATTTTAGCATTGTTCATTGACACAGCAACCATATCCCAGGCCTTGTCTGTTTCCTTGACAATATCACCTTGCCAGCCAATAGCAGCTCTGCACTGACCAAATAGCTCCTCCCACTTAAAAGCAGCATCAACTGTAAACTTTCCCAATTTTCTGTAACAAAAAATAAAAAAAGTTAAAATAATCAACAACTTACTTTCTTAGAATTTTTTTGTAGTCTAAACAGTCTCAATGACATAATTCAAAGCTGATTTAATTTTACATTATCAAATCAGACAGTCTTCTGTTAACCTTAGTTTACTTTGAAAAATTGACATTTCTGAACATGCTCAATGCTTCATAATATTGAGCATGCTCTTTAAGTGCATAGGGTATTTTACCTTGATACATCATAGTCATCTGATGCCTTGCTAAACACACCATTAACTTTGACACCATCACCCCACAAACCAGTGAAAGAGCCAGTTATAAAATCACCATTTGGTAAGGTTAGTGTTCCCTGGAAAAAATACACACATTAAATATACACTTTAAATTAAACAAATCAGTAGTGATGTTGTTAGTCTATGAGTGAGATACTTACCTGGATAAACCGATAAATGCCTAAGTTTTCTTTGAAACTTACCTCTCGAGCATAAAAGGAAAATAATGGACTCGCCCTAGCTCACCTATATATGCCCTGCGTGAATGAACAATATCCTCGTTTCCTTCTCGCTTTTGTCTTGTATAGACATTTGAAAGCTTGCTATTGTTGTTTAACAAAGAGTTGTAAAAGTTGTTGTGTTTCCTGTAGCCATGTCAGCGCAGAAGCCTACTTGTTCGATGTGTGGTGGGCCTAGGCCTAGCCCACGTAATGATAAGCACTCTGTTTGCCGGGCGTGTCACTCTTGTGGGCAAGGCGCGCCATATGATATTTGTAAGGTCTGACTCCTGCCAGGTTCCAGGCTGCTGCGGCTTGGATTGCTAGCAATCTCAGGCCCAGCTTAGATTCTACTTCTGAGTCATCCTTCCCACCGGCTTTCGGTGTTCCTGGGCCTTCTTCAAGTGCGTCCCAGGAGCAGGTCCTTTCTCCTGATTTAGTGAAATTGATCTCTGATCAATTCACGAAATAGACTGAATTGCGTAATTTGTATATTTTGATTAGAGCGAAAAAAAAGTTATTGCAAATTGAATAAACACAATTTAAATATAGTCTTTGCATTTACACAACTTGGAACAAATGATAAACAAATTCTTAATGGAAAAAAGTAAAATAAGATATAGTACAACTACAAGAAAGCTACATAAATCAATGGTTTGTACTTACTTTTCCATTGAGTGTGGGACCAGTAGACAATTCTCCCTCATAACAAGTACCATCTTCTGTTGCCAAGAGTCCAACACCCTACAAAAATTGAAGAAAATATAATATAATTTTTATTATTAATGGCATACAGTATGTTTTGAAAGAGAATAACATATGTAGTCACTAGAGGCATTAAACAAAATAATATATAGATAAATAAAAAAGAATATATATAAAGTTATGCAATAGAAAAAAGAATGAGATATATGAAGTTATTAAAGCCATAGGTTTCTATCTGAAAATACACAAAAAAGCAAACATATTCAATTATAACCAAACTTACAGTTAATTTATTTTGTGTGAAGTTTCCTTCATAGTACAAGCCTTCAAGGGTGATGACGAAGCCTCTACCATGCCTGTACCCATCTTGCCAGCCTCCCATGTACTTTTCTCCTCTCTGGCTGTCCTCCATAGCACCATAGCCCTGTTTCTTGTCCTTCTGCCACTCCCCTATGTACAGGCTTGAGGGTGATTTGCACTCCAGTATACCATGTCCATGTCGCATGTTGTCTAAGAAACTGCCTATGTATACATCTCCATTATGGTATCTGAAGAAGTAATTTTAAAGTCAGACTCCGGAGGAAAAAATTTTTTTATATGTTGTAAAACTGATTTTCCAAGACAGAAAAAAGTTGTTTGACGAAAAACTGGTGAACGAGATACAGATTTTTTAATATTTAAAAACTAGGGGAAAAGGGGGCATTTTACACCTTTTCCCCCAGTTTTTAAATATTCAAAAATCTGTATCTCATTCACCGTTGCTCAGTTTTTGATCAAACTAATCTTTTCTGTCTTAGAAAAATCAGTTCTACAACATATCAAAAATGTTTTTCCCTCCGGAGCATGACTTTAAGTTATAGAAAGCAGATGATGATTTGAGAATTAAATAATTTGATGATTTGAGAGAGCAGCTTCGCTCAGTCGGCTAAACTGGTGGTAGCCACTGTGTGTGCGCTGAACCGTGGAGATCTCTAGGTTCCCGGTTCAATTCTCATCGTTACCCTCCTTGTGTTTCAGCTGGACGGCTGAAATGCAAGCACACTGTTTTATGGATGGGACATTTAAGCCATTGGTTCTGTGTGCACTATGGCCCATGTGCACATTAAAGAACCAGTACACTCTTCGGTAGAGAGTAGGGTTTGTCTCCCCATGTTCTGTCACAATCATCACCAGAAGGACCCCCATTGGAAATAAGTCTTCTTCAATCAGAATCTTTTGTGGGTTATCCTTGGTGTTTACACCAAATAAATCCATTCATTCATCGATAATAACAATAACAATAATGGTTGACTTATAGAGCACATATTGTAGGGACCTCTATGCGCTTAACATTACTATCTCTGGCCATTGGATCAAGCACATATGTGGCAAAGACAAGCCAAACCAGTCACTCGTCACAAATCGTGTTTCAGAGAAAATGGCAAAAACATGCTGGAAAGTCAAATTTAAAAAAAAAACTATTTTATTGCACTAAACTAAGCTTTATATATCTATACATCATGCTACTGTATGCTGTTATTTTCACAATTTTCAAAGTTCAAACAACACTTTTTAAGGATTTGACAATAGTTTCTGCATGAGAAATGCCCGAAATCATAAACTTTGAAGGCTGATTTCTCATATATTGTTCTTTAAACAGCTGTATGTTTAAATGCTTGTAAGTTCATAAGGAAATGTCGGATTTGAATGATTTTTTTAACCATTGTATATCTCCTATTTTACTCTTTAACCCTGTATTAATAACTCAAAATTGATTTTTGCAATGACTGATGGGTCTGGCTTGTCTTTGCCACATATGGAACACACACTTAGGTCCCTCATCAATCACGATACCATTAATGACATTGATGAAAGTAATAAGTTACCTTAGGGTGCCAAACACCTGTCTTTTTCCTTCCAACCACTGACCTTCGAACTTTTCATTAACAGATTTACCATCAGCACTGGGAATGCTACTGATACCATACCTTAAAGGTTACAAAAAATTTACTTTATTTATTTTATCTAATTAAAATTTTTTAATTCAGATGTTTGAATTGAATGGGTACATACATTGGTTAAATATTTAATTATACAAAACATCTTGACTAAACACAAGATATCACACCTGTGCAATTTATTGCTTTGTAAAAATCTAACATTTCCTTGATTTCATTTGATATTGATGATCACAAAAACATCTCCGCTGAATAGCCACTAAAAGTTTTGTTACCAGTACATAGGCTGTGAGAATCTACATACTGACTTGTAATGATTCAATAAACAAGCCATAGTAAACAATATGTGTTCATCCTTACCCATGCTGGACACCATGCAAGAAGTTCCCATGGTAAAACCTACCATCTGGCCAGGTGAGTTTACCTCTGAAAAAGTAAAAAGAAATTGCTAATGTATGGTATAATTTAAAGAAAATATACATAACTACTTTTCAATAATAATTCTTTTTAATACATATTCCTTATAGATATTCTTCATTCAACTTGAAATTGGAAATTAGGGCTGGGCCCTAAGGAACCTATGGCAGTCGCAGTACAGTACCATCACCCGACTTAACTACAACATGTGATGGATACATACGGACACATAACCTGTCTAACCCTGAATGCGAGGGCTATTTAAGGAGTTTAGCAACAAGATTCCAATTAATATTGATGCTAGCTGGATATGAACCATGTAACATTTGAAGCACGAAAATTACCTCTCAGTAAAATGCTTGTTATGGAAAAAAGTCATGGAATTTGATAGGATTTGAACCCAGAAATTTGTGAATGAAAAGCAAACCTCAACTTTTTCACAAAGATCTATAAATTTTGACAAAACTTATAAAAATCAATCACAAAACCAGTTAAAAATTTTTTTATTTCATATTTACCTTCCATGTGGTTTTCCCAAGCACCATGCCCCTTCATAAGTAGCATCTTTGAATTTAGGGTGTGAAACAAACTTATAAGAGCCGTTCCTGTGAAGCTTTGGAGGGACTCGTTGCCCATTGCTGACTGGAGACAGGGAGGTGGCACTGTCAGACCTGTCCACCAATTGTCTGCTGCTCAGCGCGGCATCAATTGCATCATTAATACACCATAGCCACTCTGATTTTTCTTCTGGTGTTGTCGTTGAAAGCAGCAAGGTTTCTTCAGCCATTACTAGGCGAATTGTATTTCTTTAAAAAATGATTGTATTGTGATTCAATGTTTTAGAAATAAAACATACTTGAAAAGTTATTTTAAATTAAGAGGAAATACAAATAGGGATGTGAAGGTTGGGAAATAAAAGAAAATTGAGATATATGATGAGGCAATAAAGGAAGCAATATGAAAAAACCATGATGGTGGTTAGCAGGAGAAACAAAGAGTATAAGAGAAACTTGAAGGGGGGGGGCTGAGCCCCCTCTCCCTTTTTGAAGTTTAAAAAAAGGAAAAAAAACGAAAGAAAGAAAGAAAAAATTGATCGCCCAAAATGCCTCAGAGGTTATATTCAGGCGTCTAGAACACAAAAAATGTCCCCGGACCTCCTAGGGTACTATTATCTCGATCAGCCCCACTTTCGGCATCCTCTTTTGGACATCTCTGGATCCACCCCTGAGTAGACACTGACCGAGAACAGGTTCTACACCCACATGAAGCTAATTATTAATTAGCTCTATGTGGGTGTAGAACCCCTTCTGTTTTTAGATTTGTTTACCTGGATTGTTGAGAGTCTTGGACTGGCTCTGCCCATACCAAGTTCAAGGGATAGATATAATGAGATATGCTCTAAAATAATGAAAGAAAGAAACAACTTTATTATTTGATTACAGAATTCCATACAAACTGATATTTTCTTAGGTACATATTAAAATATATTTTCAAAACATGTTATTTAAAACATTCAATTTAACACAAAAAAAATAAGATTATTTGAAGACTAATAATAATTACTACATGAATATCTAGTTTATTGAATATACTTCAATAAAAATTAAAGAAAAGATTAATAAATGAAAATTTAATTATTCACATGATTTAAAATGTTAATTTAAATTATTATTGATGAACGGATTTCTAAATAGATTTTTAAATGTTGACTAGTATTTTCTGTTTTCTTTACTAAACTCCTGTTCACAACGTAAATATTCAAAAGATAACTGAAATGATTGCAATTGGTGGAACAATGGGAAGATGTATGACATTATTTCCCCATCATCTTAGGTTTTGACTCTTAAAATTCATTTCATTCGATTCATTTTTAAATAGATTTCTAAATGCCGACCAGTATCAACTGATTTCTTTTTGTTTCTGCCTAGGTCACTGATCTCTACTATAATAGCTGGATTGCTCATTGGTTGGTTTTAGTGAAGCCACCGGCGCCATATGCAAATACAAAATTGACGTACCAGTCTAGTCAAGTTTTTTTTCATATTTGTTTAAATTAGTGTTAAAAATAACAATAATTCTTACAATACAATTTAATAAATAATTTAAATTTTACAAAAGCGCAAGCTCATGTTTACAACACAAAATGATTTGGTAATAAATTGATAAGATTGCCTGGGAAGACGATGTGCTAAGCTAATGTCTTATTAAAATTTGCAATGTAAATTAAAATAAAGATTTAGCAAAGTATAATATTCCATGTTTTTGTCGTTATTAAGCAAATTAAATTTGTACTTCAAAATAGGCAATTGCAGTAAAAAATGTGACTCTTGTGTTCTAGCTTTCCATCTACATTTTCTAATAAGCATGATAAATAAAATTTAAATAATTGTAATGAAGATTCCTTATAAAAAAACTAAACAATTGATTGCTATAGAACCT